TAAACTATGCGACACACAGACGAAGATAATTAATAAAGTTCGAAATAGTTATACGATAAGCTATGCGACAGACAGAAAAAGTCAATTGATAAAGTGCGAAACAAATGTGACATAAACAATGCAACAGGTGAATTTAATTGAAGAAGTGTGAATTACTTATGTGATCAACTATGCGATAGAGGCGAAGTTACTCGAGCAAGTGAGATCTCATTTTGCAATAATTAAGCAAGAGACAGGCGAAGATAATTGATGAAGTGTCAAATAATTATGCGATAAACTATGAGATAGATAGGCGAAGATAACTGATAAAGTAAAAAACGAATTAGGCGATAAACTATGCGACAAATACACGGAGATAATTTATAAAATGGGAAACGAATTAGGCAAGACTTTGCGACAGATAGGCAATGATAAATGATAAAGTGTGAAATAATTATGCGATAAACTATGCGAAAGACAGTCGAAGATAATTGATTAAAGTGTGAAATATTTATGTGATAAACTATGCAACAGACAGGCAAAGACAATCGAGCAAGTGATAAATAATTATGTGATAACCTGTGCGACAGACAATTGAAGCTAATCAAGCAAGTGCAAAATTATGCGATGAACTATGGGATAAAAAGGCGTGTGAAATATTTATGCGAAAAACTATACGATGGGCAAGAGAGTTTAATTTATAAAGTGCGATAAATGCGATAGACAGACGAAGTTAATTAAGCAAGTGTTAATTACTTATACGATAAACTATACGATCGAAAGGCAAAGTCAATTGAGCAAGTGCGATTACATTATGCGATTAATTAGGCGAACGAAAAGCGAAGTGATAATCGAGCAAGTGGAATCACATTATGTAAGTAAAAGACAGGTAAATTGATAATCGAGGAATAGCAATCTCATTATGCGATAAAGTAGGCGAAGTGATAATCGAGCATGTTCGATCTCATTATGCAATAAACTAAACGAAAGACATGCGAAGTTAATTGAGCAAATGCGATGTAATTATACGATAAACTATGCAATAGAAATGCGAAGATAATTGAGTAAGTGTGATCTCATTATACAGATAATATATGCAATAGATAGACGAATTTAATTGAAAAGTGCATAAAAATTGTGCAATAAACTATGTGACATATATGCGATGAATAAGCAGAGATTTATGTGAACATTCCGATCAAACGCAGGTCTAGTCGGCGATCAGCTTCTTGCACCTGTTTTTACATTTTTCCAACTTTTCCTCAATTATCAACTTTTTGTGTAAGACCGAAACGTGTTTCGGCCGAAAATGTAGGTTTTCATGAGAAGCATGGGTTGTAGCTTGCCGAAGTTATCTGCTGACAATTCACACTATTCTGCCTATTCTGCCTAACAGCTGATGACATAAAGAAAAGCCTCACCCGGCCAGCAATAGCGGCCGGCGGCAGACAGCAGGCATTGACCTAATATGTTTTTTGCTAAGATTGTGAAATTGAGTGTTGACCTTGTGGATTTAGGTTTAATAATGTGGAATGGAATATTATTTTTGCCTTTTCTAATCTAGCCATATAAGCCACAATCATGCCATGTCACATCAAAAAACTGCCACGTCACATTTTTATACAGGGTGCGGATAAAATTAGATTGAAACTGATTAAAGCTAAATTAAATTATTGAACGCAGTTGAAAGTGGTCATTGACGGGTGAATTTTTTAAAATTTAGCCAAATTATAGGACCAATTTTGAATTTTTGCAAATGTTAGGTCTTTTGTTGGCTGAATAATGCAGGTCCTGATGATGATGATGATGATAACCTACCCCTCAAATGAAGAAACTGATTCCAGAAAAACAATATATAGATGCATGCACGATTATCACTATATAGGATTTATAATCTAGTTCAAAACAGTAGCATAAGTCTACCCAACAACAGTATTTATGAGAAAGTACAGCCATATCCAAAATGTTCGTCTAATCCGCAAGTCAAGTTATACCTCCTTTCGTCACATCATAACTATTTCTTTGATGTCTTTTTCTTCGGATCGCGCTCTGGCTTTGGGTGTTTCTCCGCTTCAATTGAGTCCAACCAAACGAGCGGGTGACGATTGAAAAACTGCCAATTAGGAATAGTAATCAGCGAAGTTAACACAACTCCAGCTGCATAAATAAGTATCATCATCCGAAAAGATCCCAAAACATATCCCGTGATGAAGGCAACTACTGCAAAAAATACCAACAGCAGCTGCATAAGCTGCTCAGCTAGCTTTTGCCCTTGCCAATCCATCTCATCAAATACTTTTCTACCAGCTGAAACAAACGTATATTGTTATATTAATACGGGGAATGGTATGACAGTAAAGGAGACAAAAGAACAAATGTACCACCAGATATAGACGAGAATAATATATTCAATAAAACGAAATCGAAAAGAATTCATAGTAACAGAAATTTGAATCAGATGCAATACTAATTCTTATTGTACCATCTGAAGCATTATACAGCTGTAAGGATACATGCAAAAAGCCAGCTATTGCTGTACAATAATATTGTAGTCACAAATATGGAACACAATGACTAAATGTGTATTAAGTCAGAAACAGTAAAAGAAACCATTTGACAACAAGTAAAAACTAAAGGAAGTTACTAATGATCTTAGTATGACTATAGATTCAACATAATGGTAAAAGCTCTCTTGATTCTGGGAGTAAAAACAATTTTTTTGGAAAACTAGGGACTGTTCACAAGCAAGTGACGTCTAAGTTACAAGGATAACATTAACAGTTTCAAGTTTATAATCATTAAAAATTAGTAAACTACACGCTCATTATAGCAGAAGAAACCTCACTCATGGTCTTGTTTTTAACAATATGGTACCAACAAATTTTAAGAAAACATCGTTACAATAAGCCAATATGAAAATCAGTTACAAACAAAACAAATAGTGTAAAGAATCAACATATAGCTAGTGAGTAAATTATGGAAGATGAAAACAGAAAGAAGAGAAAAATAATTCAGAAGCAGCTAAAGGCTTTCAAGAACAAGTGAAGAAGTACTTGTTCATGTTTCCATGCTCGTTTAAAGTATGAACTACCACTTGTATTTGCAAATTAGATACGATCCCAAAGGGCTTGTTTTGATAAAACATACAAGGGAATAATTCCAGTTTGACTGCAAACATCCCAGCTGCCAAATTACGAAAGACAGACTAGGAACCTTTAGGTAAATAGCTCGAGCAGCTGTTAGAAACATGGGGATTTTTTATTTTTTTTCTTCTCATTTTGAGGGTTGCAATTAGCTAACACAGTTGTCCATCACCCCTACAAATACACTCACAAATATACTCACAACACAGAATCAATTCAAATAGATCTTTGAGTAATAGACAATCACAGATCTACAAATTTGACTTGAGATCAACTACAGATGAATTTCCTTGCCCTCAATTCATTCACCCACAGATTTACAATACTAAACAAATACCCAAAAACACCGTATCAACAAAACATCAAAAGAAGGAATCGCCTGTTTCAACTCGATTCCTGACACGCCCAAGCACAAATTCACAAAGACAATCCAAATTAATATCCATATTCAGACACCAAATCTAAGATGTGCTCAATTCAAGGACGTTGGATATCCAAAAGAAGGAACTGTACTCACCGGAGAAGAAACAACTGGAGAGGATTTTGTCAAGGATCCAAAGGTGTAGAACTGTAGATGTAAGTAAAGGTAAAAGCTTTACCTATGAATTATTATTTTTTTTTTCAAAATTACCTATGAATTATTGACTTGTCAAATAGTACAATTCTCCCACCAACGGACCCGGCCCAAAGAGACGTAGGTCTAACCCATATTGAGTTGGGTCATACAAGTAGTGGTGGGCCCGTTTGTATTTGAGAACCGCCAATATATTTGACATTTGGCGCCAAAAAATGGATGACGAAATTAAATCAAAGAAGCTGCAAGCTCAAGAGGAGAAAAGAAAGAAAGCTGCGAAGGGAAGATATGAAGTCCAACAAGTGCCCGCTTATTAGGCCAATTGGCCAACGCTCCATTACTTCTACCTTCCTCTCCTCCCATCGGTACATCTCAAATTTCTTATTGTTTCTCTTTTATTCTCCCATTTTTTTTTTATTTATTTATTTATTTTTTAACTCTGCCTGATTTTCACAATACATATATATTTTATTCCACAAAAAAAAAAGTTATCTTTTTGGTTTCTGGTATAGTGATTGTGAGGGAGATGCGAACATCAAAGCTCCTAATCGTAAGGGTACAAGGCCCTCGCTTTCTGATTTTCTTAACAGCAAGTTGCACAGAAGTTCTGTGCTACCCACATCGGTTCAGGTCTCTCTCTCTCTCTCTCTCTCGCTGTGTGTGTGTGTGTGTGTGTGTGCCGGCGCTCTAATTAGCTGTATTCGGTTGAAGAATTTTACAGAGGGATTTCAAATTCTAAAAATCAAATAATAGAATTTGCCTGGTGTGATGGAATTTAAATCTTTAGCATGTTTGATTTTTTATTTTATTTTTGTTTTATCTCCACTTGAAATGATACGTATGATTTCAATTCTTCTTATTTGATGTTTGAAATCAGCTCTGAGTCGAAATCCTCAAACCTTAATGCAACCTCATTATATTTTGCTTCATGTGGAGGGGAAGTCATAATTTGTGGGCTTCACTTTTTAACATATGTATAAATGCTTGTTTTTATTCACAAAAACCTATTACAAATTTTTTGGTTTTCTGCTGCACATCAACTAACAACAATAGTATCCACTGTGAAACATGGATTTATTTTAGGCTCAGATGAAGTAATTTTATTTTCTAGTTATGGTCTTCCAATTTAGTAATTGCTTAATTTGCCTCGTTGTGAGGTCATATTTTTGAATTGACTCAAGGGGTTGTTCAGAAATTTTGAAATGATTGAAGTTATCTGATTCATAGGTTAAAGTTATCTTAGAGTACAAGAAGTGTAGACATCAAATTGTGAGAGAACAGGTTAAATAGGTTTGTATATCTTCTTATGTCATTTAAGAAATAGATGATGAAGTAAAGAATGTAATACACAGGGGAAAGAGCTGCCCTTTTCATGTCCAGTAATCAGAGAAAATTCTGATAAGAGTGTAAATGGAGGAAGTCAGAAAAAGGAAGAACGGGAAGAAGAATCAAAGTTTTTGATTGATGGTGCTTTTGACATGTTCAAGAATGTTCAAAAGAACTCCAAAGGTTTAGACACTTCAAGTTCAGATAATGATACCAACATTTTCTGCATCGATCACATTCATGAAACACAGAAGAGAAAAAATCTGAATGAAGGTTTGCATATTCAATTAAATTTTAAGATTCTTACAAAGCCTCTTATATGTTGATGTTAATTTATATGTAAGGTTGAAATCTAGAAAATGTTGCCTTGTACATGTTTCTAAATTAGTTAGTCCTTTACCCTAAAACTGGGGTATGCAATACTAGGAAACTATATTAACCTATTTGATCACTCACTTTCAAACATTTCATCCATAATTCAATCTGCTTCAACCAGTTATATGTGGAGTTGTGTATATTAAAGCTATTTCAGTATGGACTCATAGCTATGAGTATATGGCCTATCACTTTTGTAAAGATTATATACAAAGTAATATACGTGCATAGATAGAAGCAATATCCTTACATATATGAAGAAGTCCTGTCGAGAGGGCAGCCCGTGATTTTTTCTTTGTAATTCAGAAGAAAAAAAAAAAAAAGTAACTTCAAAAATGAAAATAAAAACTGAACTCTTTTTCATTCAACTTAGTTTATTTCATTATCTCATTGGGCGAGATAAAACGTATGTTATGCGTTCAAATTTGATTGAATGATTTTTATATGTTATATAAATGTAGTCCTTTTAGTCAGCAGTTTTCTCCCATTCAGATTAGCATTCCCAGTTTGTTGAATTCAGCTCCATTTTTCTTGAACTTTCTTATTGTCCCAAATTTTTAAAGATGGGTTTGTAACACAGCACTTGTCCGAATCAAAAAAGTATCTCCTACACAACAGTTAAACATATGTGCCTCTTTTTTCTTGTATGGAATATTATACGGTCATTAAGATAAGCCAGCTGGTCGAAAGCGGATGGCAGTTCTTGGAGAGGACTCAAAACCAGCACTTAGGCCGAGGGTGAAAAGGAACTTTCCTGCCAATGATGAGTCTATCCCTCATTTCAATCACTGTGAGTAATTTACTTTTTTCGTTTTTTGTTTTGTTCTGCGATTGATCTCTTAACATTCTTGTACTTGCGTTGAAGTTGGGAGAATATATGTTTTTGACAGACGAGAATGGTGGCGGATGGTGGAATGACGATATGGCAGGTGTGGACACTGAAGAAGTTGGTTGCAAGAACGATGCATGGGAAGGTGTGGGCCGTACCACACTTGGCGGTATTGAATGGCATTAGTTTGAGCTCTAGCACCCATTATTGCGAAATCACTCTTCGACTATGTGTGTATTCTGTTTCTTTGTTTCTTCGTCTTGCTTTTGTTCTTGAAGTTAAAAGATTGTAGTAGTACTTATGTGTGAATGATGTAATGGTAGTGTGTAGTATCTCCTGAAAGAGGTTTGAGAATCTGTCAAAGTTTTTACGGTGTAAGATCATCTCCAACTGAAAATTCATTTTCAAACTTATTTTACAGTAACCATCACATCTCCTTCGATTGAAAGATTCATTCTCAAACCTAAAGTATTATTTTTGAAATATTATTTTTCTCATCAATTTTTATAATTTTTCAATACTATCAACATATTTTACGATTCTGTTAATTTATAAATTCTACCTCATTACGATTTATATATTCAATTTTAAATTACATAATAAAATTAATTATATATTGATAGTTCATAGCATGAGGTAGGTTTACTTTTGTCCCGGTCATTCCAAATGTATATGTCTAATTTGGCCGTGATATTTAACACACTGTGTAGAGCCACATCTATANATTATTATTACATTAATCCATCTTATCTCATTAATAATAAAATATTTTTGTGCAATTTTTTTTTTGGGTTAACTAAGACAAAAACTGTTACATTTTATATTAATTGTGTAATATTTTTATTTTTTATTGTATCATATAATTGTTATTATTAAAATTAATAATTATATTTCACATGACATTTACATAAACATAAAAAAATATATTGTGATTTTTTTTTCAAGTTATTTATTCTAAAATCAATATTATATTTTTTATCTGATTAAGCGATTATTTTTTTAATAAATTAATTTATTTAACGTCATAGTAAAATTTCTTAAATTCGCATAAGCAATTGTTATAATAAATTTATTATTTTTTTGGTTAAATAATTGGTCATGATCCCTCAAAATTATTGAATTACATTATTTATTACATTTTACGCAAACAATATAGTAATACATATGCAATCAAATCGTTATGTATTATTTATTTTAACCAATGATCGAATTTTTAAAACATAGTATCATTATCTAACTTATAATTTTTATATTGTATGCATAAATATAACTTGTAATATGCTATATTAAAATATACTATAATTTCTTACTTATAATTTTAATATTATATCCATATAAATATATAATACTTTATTAATTACATTTGTGTAAAATGCACAAGGTCAAATATTAATGTTTATGTTATGAATACTAAGAAAATAAAGAACACAATTATATAACCCGGAGACAAATTTTACTAAATTTTCTCTCCTTTATTTCTTTCACTTCTTTCTTTCTTTTTTGTATTTCTATGTGTACATGCTCAATGAATTGAGCCATATTTATAGGCAAAATTTTGCCACATTTCTTTGACATTTTTACACAATGTACTATTCATAGTCTAATTTGTACAATAGTCTATTATTTACACCATAGTCTAATTTGTACAAATGACTATTTGTTAGTCCATTATTTACAACACTCTCCCTTGGGCTAACAATTATAAAATGTACATTAGTCATTCATCATGTTAGGAAAACCAGGTGGGACAAAAACCTGATCATTTTTGAAGCACAATATTTCTCCCCCTCAAATAGATCATCTTTAGTGGAGTATCCACGTGTTGCCTCGTTAAAACCTTGTCAAGAAAACCCAGTGGGAAAAACTTGATCAAAGGAAAAAGAGTACAGCTACTCCAGTGTCTTCTAGTCATCATGAGGAATTATATCTTGTTGCCATCAGATACATTCCACCCCTTAGAATTATCACTATTAAATGTGCGTTTATGCTGCCTCGTTAAAAATCTTATCTGGAAAAACCCTATGGGAAAAAAACCGAGATAAGGAAAAAAGAGTACAGCCGCACATGCTCCCCCTCGAGTAATCATCTGTGCAAATCTTGAAGATGTCTCATTCCGATGTTATAGACATGTTTTCGGAATGTTGTAGTTGGGAGCGGTTTAGTAAATAAATCAGCTGCATTATCACTTGATCGGATGTATTGAATCTTGATCTGTTTGTTCCTTTCAAGATCTTGAGTGTACGAGAAGAACTTTGGTGGAATATGTTTAGTTCTGTCACTCTTAATGTATCCTTCTTTGGTTTGAGCGACACATGCTGCATTGTCTTCAAATATCACCGTCGGATCTTTATTATTCGATAATCCACTGGCTTGTTGAATGTGTTGAGTCATGTTTCTGAGCCAGATACTTTCCCTAGTTGCTTCATGAAGTGCAATGATTTCAGCATGATTTGAAGATGTAGCAACTAGTGTTTGTTTCTGAGAACGCCAAGAAAATGCAGTTCCACCAATCGTGAATACGTAGCCAGTTTGAGATCTCGCTTTATGTAGGTCTGATAAATATCCTGCATCTGCAAAACCAATCATTTCATGTTTTTTATCATTTGAGTAAAATAATCCCAGATCGGTTGTTCCTTGGAGATAACGGAATATATGCTTGATTCCATTCCAGTGTCTCCTCGTAGGTGACGAGTTATATCTTGCTAACAAGTTGGTAGCAAAAGATATATCTAGTCTAGTGCAATTAGCAAGATACATAAGAGCTCTTATTGCACTCATATATGGTACCTCAGGACCAAGTATTTCTTCATTTTTTTCACAAGGTCGAAATGGATCCTTTTCAACATCCAATGTTCGATTAACCATCGGAGTACTAAGGGGATTAGCTTTGTCCATATTAAATCGTTTCAGTACTCTTTTAGTATAGTTAGATTGATGAACAAATATCCCATTTTGTACCCTCTCTATCTGTAAGCCGAGGCAATATTTAGTTTTTCCGAGATCTTTCATTTTAAATTCGCCTTTCAGAAAAATGACTGCTTCTCGAATTTCATTTGCTGTTCCAATAATAATAAGATCATCAACATAGACAGCAATTATCACAACTCCATCATGTGATTTCTTTATAAAGACACACGGACATATTTGATCATTTAATTATCCCCTTTTAAGTAATTGTTCACTCAAACAATTATACCACATACGCCTGGATTGTTTCAAGCCATATAAGGACCTTTGTAGTTTTATCGCACATAACTCTTTAGGTTTGGAGTTTAGTGCTTCGGGCATTATGATTCCTTCAGGAACTTTCATGTAAATGTATGTGTCTAATGATCCATATAAGTAAGCAGTCACAACATCCATGAGACGCATCTCAAGATTTTCATGGATAGCTAAACTGATTAAGTATCTGAAAGTAATTGCATCCATGACAGGGGAATATGTTTCATCATAATCAATCCCAGGCCTTTGGGAGAATCTCTATGCTACAAGGCGAGCTTTATATCTCGTGATCTCATTTTTCTCATTTCTTTTTCTGATGAAAACCCATCTGTATCCAATAGGTTTTATGCCTTTTGGTGTAATGAAAATAGGCCCAAAAACTTTTCGTTTATTGAGCGAATCTAACTCAGCTTGGATGGCGTCTTTCCACTTATCCCAATCATGTCTTTTCCGACATTCAATTACAGATTTTGGTTCAGGATCCTCAACTTCATTATTAATATCTTTCGATACCATATATGCAAATGCATCATCAATATTTATGAACTCATCACGCTTCCAAATATTTCCAATATTCACGTAAATAATGGAAATTTCAATATTTTCATTTCTTTCCGAAATTTTTTCATCATCTTGATTCTTTTTCAAATTCGAGTCTTGAATTTCTCTTTTCTTTCGAGGATTCTTATCTTTAGACCCAATTGGTCTTCCTCGTTTCAAGCGTGTCTTTGACTCATTTTGCATATTATCATTTGGCATTTCTTTTGGAATCTCAATTTGAGCAGGGGCATTTACAGCTGCCACATGTGATTTGGTCACCCTTTTTAAATCAGTAAATGCATCTGGCAATTGATTTGCAATATTCTGCAGATGTATAATCTTTTGAACTTCTTGCTCTCTTTGTTTAATGGGAGGATCAAGATATGATAGTGATGATGTTCTCCATTCAATATTTCTCTCAATTGATTTTTCATTCCCACCTAATTGGGGAAATAATTCTTCATTAAAATGACAATCATCAAATCGATCTGTAAAAACATCACTGTTTGTCCCATTTTTGTTGCTATTTTTGTTTATGTTTTGCGTGTTTTTTCCCCCGTTTTAGGTCGTTTCTTAGGTGTTACCGGTCCGTCTAGTCGTTTCTCGTGTTTTACCTTTATTTTGATGTGTTTAGTATTTTCTTTGTTTTTATCTCTATTTTCCTTGCTTTTCGTGTTGTCTTCCGATTTTGGTGTTTCAGGTCGTTCCGGTTCCTAAGTGTTTCATCCCAATTCGTGCCACCAAACAACAAAGGATTGACTTTCTAGCTCGGGAAGGACCCGAGAGATGTTAGCCGAGAGTCCACGAGCCCGGAAAACTAAAAATCGGAAGCTGCCCAGACCCTAGCGCCGCTAAGGGGTTAGCGGCGCTAAGGGTGTGAAAACTAACGACGGTTTGGCCTTAGCGAGGAGGTAGCGACGTCGAAGGCTTTATTTTAGCAAAAATGGGGTTAGCGCCGCTAAGGTCTGTTTTCAGCAGATGCGTTTTTTATGGAATTTCGAATAAAGGGGTTTAAGGGATCGAACCTTAAGCGTTTTTTATCATTCCCAGACATTGTATTTTTATTTTTTCACATACAGAACACATTCTTCACTTGGTTTTGCTTAAATTTCAATCTTGGATAGTGAAAACTCCAAGATTAGACTTTGGATTTGGATTGTTCGTTGATTTTCGACACTGGATCCACTATTAATCATAAGCTTTCTTTCTTTTTCGTTTTATCTATGATTATGATGGCTTGGATTGATGTGTATGTTGATGTTGAATTGATGATGAGTAGCTAAATTCGTTAACTAGGGTTAGGGGATAATTGTTCCGGTTCACTTTCGTTTGTATGAATGTTGATTACTCAATCTATTCGAGTTGTGTTAATCCTTGGGTTGAATGACTGATCACCATTTTAATCCACTAAATTGATTCTTAGAACCGAAAGGGGAGAAATTGATCGACTTAGGCTCGTTTAGAATAGACTTGTTTGGTAACGTATTGTCTATATGTTGATTGACTTGATAATTGTTCGTTTATGTTCATTCTCTTGTTACGTGAGTTATTGAGAATAAATCTCTAGATGAATTGGTTTTTCGAGTCCTTTAGCCGAGTAGTTGATTGCCCGTTAAATGTATTGAGAACCGGAAACGATTATCCCCGACACCCTAGTCCCTTTGCAATTATTTGAATCTTGTTTGAAG